GAGTAGGACGGAGACGAGGAGGGGGAGGGGGAGGAGGAGGACGGGGAGGGGGAGGGGGAGGAGGAGGAGGAGGAGGAGGAGGAGGAGGAGGAGAATGAGGAGGAGGAGGAGGAGGAGGAGGAGGAGGAGGAGGAGGAGGAGGAGGAGGAGGAGGAGGGGGAGGGGGAGGGGGAGGAGTTGGAAGAGGAGGAGGAAGAGCAGGAGGAAGAGGAGGAGGAAGAGGAGGAAGAGGGGGAGGAGGAGGAGGAGGAGGAGGAGGAGGAGGAGGAGGACGCGGCGCCACGGCGAGAGCCCCCTTTACAGAACTGACCGCCCTCGTCCATGAAAGCAGCTTCAACCTTCGAAGAATGACGACTGTGCGCGGCGTCGTGGCGAGAGCCACGCCTCGAAGAGCGGCCGCCCTCCATCCTTCGAGCTGAACTCTTTGAGACGAATGTGCACATCGCTAAGGCGAGGTCCACATCTTGCAAACGTTCCTCCCTCCATTTGTGAAATTGTTGCAAGGCCAGACTTCGGGATCATAATTGATCAGGCCGTCTCGGACGAGACGCCCAGCCCTTCCCCAAAACACGTCTGGGGGTGCGGCAGGGAGGGGGTGCTTGCAGGGAAAAGGGTTGAAGGAGGTGGAGGGAGGAGGCGGAGGAGGAAGAGGAGGGAGGTACGATAGCATCTGAGAAGATATGATAAGGAGGATGGAAGCGAGGAGGAGGCGGAGGAGGGGGGGGCAGAACAAGATAGAGGATCGAGGTATTTGAATAGCTGTGTTGCCTCTCGCATTTTGTCCAGTCCGCAGCTGCGGTTCCGATCGCGGTGCGATTGTTCCCATCGCCGTATACCAAGCAGTTGTGTTCCCCCTGCCTTCTACCTCCTACCTGCCTGCTACTTCGCCTCCTGCTGCGAGCTGTGCAACCGTCGCCACTTTCGCGAGCTTCTGGGGGAAATCCGGCGGCGCGACGCCCGAGAGAGACCCAAACGAGACATCGCCCTCCCTGGGCGCTGCCAGTCGCGCCGCCGCCGCCACTCTCGCGAGCTCCTGCGGGAGACCCCAAAACGAGGCCTCGCCTTCTGGCGCTGCCAAAACTGCGTAAGGTGCTGTCGCGTCCCGCCCGACCCGCCCGTCGGGGCCTGCCCGCTCGCGCGCATGGAAGCCCATCCGCCCGCTGTCGTGGCCCCCTCGCCCGCCCCCGCCCGTCAGGGTCCGCCCGCCCGGCCCGCCCTTTGGGGTCCGCCCGCCCTGCTCGCCCGTCGGGCCCGCCCGCCCTTCCGCCCGTCGGGGTCCGCGCGCAGACGTTTTTGTTGCTTCGCTTTCTCACTCCTGCGGGGTCTACTTCGGGATCAGTCCTCGTCCCTCCCTCCTGCCCCTCTCCCCTGCTGGTTCCTTCTCCCTTCCTCTCTGTCTCCTGCCTGTCCCCCCCTCCTCTTCCTATTTTGGTTGCCGCGCCAATGGCACATGGCAGGCAAGGAAAGCATACCCCCCGAAGGGGGGGTACGGTCCAAGATGAAGAGGGGGGGTATCTTGGGTTTGGGGTATTCCCTACCTAGGCTCTGCCTAGAAGGGTTTTTACTCTCTGTGCTTAAAGGGCCGGGCAGTGCAAATCGCCCCGGGCGGTTCCCCCAGGATCCGCCCCGCGGTTCCCCCAGTTACGTCCCCTTAGCTTAGCGTTGCTTATCTCATCTTAGCTTAACCTAGATTAACTTAGCTTAGCTTAATTTAGTTTAGCTTAGCCTAGCCTAGCTTAGCTTAGCTTAGTTTAGCTTAGCTTAGCTTACCTTAGCGAAGCCTGGCCTAGCTTAGTTTAGCTTAGCTCGGCTTGGCTTAGCTTAGCTTAGCGCAGCGCAGCGCAGCATTAGCTTAGCATATCATACCATAACCTATCATATCGTAGCATATCATAACATAGCGCAGCATAGCATAGCGCAGCATAGCATAGCACAGCATAACATATCACGGCATATCATACCATAACCTATCATAGTATATCATATCATAGCATAGGACAGCATACCATAGCATACCATAGCTTAGCTTAGCACAGTACAGCGCAGCATACCATATCATATCATAGCAGCTTAGCGCAGCATAGCATAGCATCGCATAGCGCAACATAGCATAGCGTAGCATAGCATACCATATCATAGCGCAGCATAGCATAGCATAGCATAGCGTAGCGCAGCATAGCATATCATATCATTGCCTAGCATATCATAGCATAGCGCAGCGTAGCATGGCATAGCATAGCGCGGCATATCATATTATAGCATATCATAGCTGTAGTTGTAGATGTATATGTAGGTGAAGATGTAGATGTAGGTATTAAGCTGTACTGCTATAATTATTACTACTACTACTACAACGACTACTACTGCTACTACTACGACCACTACTACTACTACTACTACTACTACTACTACTACTACTACTACTACTACTACTACTACTACTACTACTACTACTACTACTACTACTACTACTACTACTACTACTACTACTACTACTACTACTACTACTACTACTACTACTACTACTACTACTACTACTACTACTACTACTACTACTACTACTACTACTACTACTACTACTACTACTACTACTACTACTACTACTACTACTACTACTACTACTACTACTACTACTACTACTACTACTACTAACTACTAACTACTAACTACTAACTACTAACTACTAACTACTAACTACTAACTACGAACTGCTACGAACTACTACGAACTACTACGAACTACTAACTACTAACTACTAACTACTAGCTACCTACTACCTGCTACTAACTACGACTACGACGACTACGACGACTACTACTACTACTACTACTACTACTACTACTACTACTACTACTACTACTACTACTACTACTACTACCGCTACTGGCGCTACTGGTACAACTGCGACGATGAGGAGAAGGAGGAGGACGGCGTTTACCGTTACTATTAATATTGCTCTCCTCTGGGCTCCAACTCCTAGGTAGGGTCGCTCTGGGATGATTCGTTGAATACTCTCAACGACGAAGAGCGATCCGCTGTTAACTGATCTTCGTTGTTTTTGATCCCGACCCTCCTGAATCAGGCTTTTTGCAAAACATTGAGAGCACTGCCGCTCCTCTCCGTCCCTTCCCGCCTCCTCCTGGCACATGCTTATTGCCAAGCCTCCCTGGATGATGCTGATTGCTGTCAACCACACAGCTCTAGGCATTTTTGCGAGCTTGTGGGGGGGGGGGGGGTTGTTGCCAATTGCGCAAGCGTCGTCACTTTCGCGACCTTCTCACGGGTCCACTGGCACCCGGCCTCTACCCAGATCGAGTCAGGACCTAGCTTCGCCATTTTCGTGAGCTTGTGGTGGGGTCTGGCGCCGACCCAAGAAATCGACGCGGACCTCCCAAAGTGTGCGTTCATGCCTTTTCTCGTACTCGCGGTAGAGATTGCAAATCAGAAACCGATGCTCCACGGATGCTTCTCACACCCCGATAGCTTTGTGGACCCACAGTTTGGAGCAATTTTGTAAGTTCGAGGATGTCCGAATTCGAAGCTCGATGACTTGTGTGCCCCTGGATTTCTGATACCAGCATTTCTTGTCGAATGTATGCGTGGTGGCCTTCGTTGGCCCGAGCAATTTTTTCCCGCCCGCGTTGTGGTTTTAGTCGAGTTTCTTTACTTCCAGGTCCCTGCCCGTTCGCGGCCATGGCCCACGGCCACAGCCACGGGGTGCCTGCGAGCGGTTCGAAACTACCAGTGGTCATACTCACGGGCTACCTGGGCGCTGGAAAGACGACGCTCCTGAACTACGTGCTGCACGAGCAGCAGGAGAAGAAGCTCGCGGTGATCGAGAACGAGGTCGGCGAGGTCAGCATCGACGACGCGCTGGTGGAGCACAAGCACGAGGACCTCGCCGAGGAGCTCGTGGTGCTGGACAACGGCTGCATCTGCTGCACCATCCGCGGGGACCTCGTCAAGCCGGAGGCTGTCGGAGGTGGCCTCTGGGCCAGGCGGCCCCGGCTCGCGGCCGCGGAGGCACAGGGCGGCCTCTCCGGAGCATGCCCCGGTGGGGCCCCGGGGGGGCCCCAGAGGCTCCAAGAGTGGGGGGCCACATGCGCACGGGTTCACCTCGCTCGGGGGAGCTCCCGAACGGAGTGAACCCCCCCCCTCCCCCTCAGACATTGTGGGGGTTGGGGGTAGGGTTCGCATGTGGCCCCCCACAAGAGGGCGTGGGAAGCTGGGGGCGCCTCTGGCCAGAGCTCAGTCGGGCCTGTCCCTCTACGGGAGGAATATCCAAAGGTAGTTCAACAAAAATCGTCCGGGGACGATTTCTGGACGTACGTTTGAGCAGTAGTGGGGTGCTTCTTGTCTTTCGCCCAAAACCCGCCTGGAGGGGGACGCGCCCGACCGGAGGCCAGAGCCGCCTCTGGCACCCTCCGGGCAAGACTCTGCAAGACCTGGCCAGGAAGGTGGCGAGCGGCCACGAGCTCGACGGCGTCCTGATCGAGCTGACGGGCGCGGCGGACCCAGCACCCGTGGTGCAGACCTTCATGATCGACCCGTCTTCGCGGCAGGCGTTCTACATTGACAACGTGATCGCGCTCGTGGACGCCAAGCACGCCGTCCAGAAGCTGGACGAGAGCAGCGCCGACCCGACGGGCAGGGGCACGGCCGGCGCACAGATCGCCTTCGCCAGCACCGTGCTGCTGAACAAGGTGGATCTCGTGTGCGACGCGGAGCTGGAGGAGGCAGAGAAGCGCATCATGGCGCTGAACAGGTCTGTCGACATCATACGCTGCGAAAAGGCTCAAGCCCCGCTCGACAGGCTGTTCGGCGTCAGGGCTTTCGATCTTGCCAAGGTACTGGATGAGCAGTACATGGACGAGGAGGAGTTCAACAGCTTCTATAAGCCGAAGATGGATAACTCGATCTCGAACGTCGGCGTCCGCTTCGAGGGAGCCGTCTCCCTGCCCATGCTGCAGATGTTCCTGGACAGGTACCTGTTCAGCGAGGAGTCGGCCAGGGACTTCCTGCGAGTCAAGGGCGTCTTCGACGTCGTCACGAGCGACCAGATGTTCGTGCTCCAGTGCGTCCACATGCTCAGGAACCAGAGCTTCTCGAAGCCCTGGCCGCAGGGCAGACCCCGCGAGAACCGGATCATCTTCATAGGGCGGGGCATGCAGCAGCGGCGGCGGGAGCTCACCGAGGGGGTCCGCGCCTGCGTGGCCGGGCCGCTCCGCTTCGCGGTGGGGGCGGCGGTGATGGCCAGGACGGGCGAAGGCGACGACGACCGCGAGCGCGGCAGGGTTGTCAAGCACTGGGACGAGTTCCAGGCCTACCGCATCCTGCTGGACGGCGGCGACGAGGTGCGGGCCCCCGTCGACACCGACGCCTACGTGAGGGGGGCGTGAGCTGCGCCCCTCTCCGTGCCCGAGCTCTATATCGCCCCGGAGCGGGCGGGCTCCGGCTCTCTCTCGGGCGGCTCTGGCCTCCCCCGGGGGCGCCCAGACGGCATCCGGTGCACCCCATCGTGAGGCCCAGGGGAGGCCCCTTTGGTTCCAAGATGGCGCGGAAGGCTGGGAGCACATCGGGCCAGAACCACCTCCGGCAGCTCCCGCGCGGCTCCCTCTCCCCCGCCTCAGAGAGGCGGGAGACTGACCCGGAGCAGAAGCTCAACTGATCTCCGCGAAGGGCTGTTCCGCCGTTCCCCCCCTCCACACACACACACACACGCCAGTCTTGGAGGGCTCCTGGAGGCCACCAATAAGATGAGCCTGGCGAAGGGCCCGAGCAGGACGTGGACCTCTCTTCAGATACTACGATCCGCGGGGCAGTGCGGATCAGTGGCTGCGGAGCTTGCGCGCAGAAGCGCGGTGAGCTCGCACGATTCGCGTCAGGGGTGTGCTGAATGTGGCGTGGTTCCCCATGCGCACACGCTCAGATGGGCCTTAATTAGGTGGAGCTCCCTTCCATGCGAACCTTGCCACCAGAACCGCAGGTGGAGCTCCGTATGGGGGCCACGATCCTCGTGAGGGGTGCGCCGGGTGGAGGAAGGGGCCGCCAGCGCGCGGCATGCAATGTGAAGGCCCCGTCCCCGGTAATAAACTATGCTGCAAGGTTTGGAGCGACCGCGCATGATCCGGATTTGTAACCAAACATACTTTGTATTGTTTTTGTCCTGGATGGTTGGCCTGTGCGCAGCAAGCAATATGAGGGTACTCCCGCCGAGGATGCCTCCGCCTTCCTTCCCAAAAACCAATGCAGAGAAGTCGCGGGGCGCCCGCGCAAGCTCCAGATTCGGAGGCAAGGTGTATGTTGGAGTTTTGTCGTCAGGGATTGTTGGCTTGTGCGCAGCAGACCATGTGAGGGCCCCCCCGAAGTGCTTGTCAAAAACCAATGCAAGGTGGCCGTGGGGCGTCTGCTCGTGCTCCAGATTTGGAGGCAACGTGTATTTTGTATTGTTTTTGTTTTGCCATGGGCAGTGGAGGGGTGGTCGTCATGGGTTCGGGTTGGCTGCTGGTGGGGCGGGGGACGGGGTGTTCATCAATAGGGAACAGTGATAAACCCTCCCCCGAAGGGGAACGGGGAGGATGGAAGAGGAAACGCTCCAGGCCACCTCCGCCCAGAGGGCCGGTGGGATTCCCGATGGGGCCACGGAGCGTGTGAGGTGTGTGTGTGTGTGAGAGAGAGAGGTGTGTGTGTGTGTGAGTGTGTGTGTGTGTGTGAGGTGTGTGTGTGTGTGTGAGAGGTGTGTGAGGTGTGTGTGTGTGTGGGTGTGTGTGTGCGTGTGTGTGTGTGTGCACCTCGGAAATGCTCGTGGCGTGGCGCAGCTGCGGAGCGGCGCCCCGAGGCCACAGGGACCTCCGGGGATCCACGAGAGCGCCCGCAGGCCTCGGCGCCACGAGAGGAGGGCGCGGGGGGGGCAGCAGAGGGGGGGGGGGGGACAGAGCAGGGGGCCCTCGAAGGGAAGAGGTGGGGGGAGGGAGCCGCCCGCGAGCGCCTCGTGTTCGCGCCTCGTGCTCGCGCGGCCCTCGCGCCCCCACCCCCCCCCGCCGGGGGGGGGGCAGCCGGCAGCCCAGCATTGGGACCTGGGCCCGCTCTCCGCTCTCCCGGCTCTCCGACGGCGTGTGGCCAGCTCAGCCCACGGCGTGTGCTCCCAGGCTCCGGCCGTCGGGGCCGGTCCAGCGTTGAAGCCCGGCGCGCAGCGCTGCCCCCGGGGACGGGGCCCGGGCCGCGGAGTATAGAAGCACATCGGATGGGCGGCCGTCTGGGTTGCCGCTCGGAGGGCCCGAGGCCTCCCCCCCCCTCCCGCCGTGGAGGAGCCGCAGCGGGGGGGCTCTGCTGCCGTGCCCGGCCCCCTCGGCACCCCGAGCCGTGCGTCCGTTCTCCCTCCGCCTTCTCTCGGAGGACGGCCGAGATGCCCCCTGGCGGCGGCGGCCCGCGGGTGGCGCTCGGCACCCCAGGGGTGTGTTTTTTTTCGTTTTTGTCCTGCCAGCCGGGAGGGCCCCCCCCCCCCAGTGGCCGGACGGCCGCCGGGGGGGTCCTTCCCGCACCCTCTCTCCCGCCCTGCGGAGGGGGGGTGGGCTTTGGCGCAGGGTCCGACGTGGTCTGCCGGGACGCGCCGGAGCCTATGTAGGGTGTTTGCGCCTTGGGAGGGCCTTTGGTCGGTATCGGTTCACCGATCCCCAGCCCCATCCCCATCCCTCCGAGAAACCCCCACCAAATTCTCACCCCAGTTGGGGATGCGCCCCTCGAAGCCCGAAGAGAACGACCTGTATCCCCATCTAGGGGGGTACATCGGCCATTTGGGCCCAGGCCACGCCGTTGGGAATGGGGATCGGTTCAACGATACTCATCTGGCGCCTCGCAGATGACCAGACGGCATACACACAGCTTTCGGAGGTGCGGGCGGCTGTTGCGGGTCGGCGTTGGAAACCTTGCTGCGCTCGCCAGGGAGGGGGGTCCAGCGCCGACCCCAGGAATCCGCGCGGACCTCAGAGAATCCATGTTTATGTCTTCTGTTCTTGTTCGCAGTTTCGCGCTCCAACTTCAGCGCCAGCCCTCCACCCCGCGTGCACCGTCGGGGTGGAACGGCATTCTGGCTGTCGCGCCCTCTCCTGTCGACTCTTCCTCCTCCCCTCGCTCCACATGAACGACGCGTTAAAAAAAACGGGCTCGGGAAAGGACTTACATGAAGTCGGGCCTGTCCCTCTACAGGGGGAATATTCAAAGATAGTTTAAAAAAATAGTCAGGGGACGATTTTCTGACTATTTTTATGCATTTGGGGAGTATTTTAGGGGTATTTCTAATTTTTCGTCCAAAATCCCCCTGTAGGGGGACAGGCCCGACCTAAGACTTACACTGCCCGACGGACTTGGCGCGGGGGTGGCGCGGGGCTCGCGCAGGCCCCGAGCGGCAGACTGCCAGGCGGACCCCGCCCCGAGGCCGCGAGGAGAGTTTTGCCGGTGCAAGGCATCCTGATAGCAGCAGCGGTGAAGAGGCGGGTCGAGGAGTACACATTGTTCATGTCTGATTATTCGAAAGGTCTTTGGTTTTTTGGGGGGCCAGGATCCTTCCATTGCAAATTGTTCTGTCCTGGGCCTCTGCCTGGCCACTAGGGGGGCCAGGAGCAATTTGAAACGAGCACAATTAGAAATGAGCGCGATCATAAGTGAACGACGTGCACGAGAAGCACTGCCTACAGTGCCGTTTTTAATACATGCTCCGCGTGAGGATCATGTATTAAACATGCAGGGATTTAGTATTAAAAACAACGATGGGTTCATGCAAACATTTACTCATACTTTGATCCTGTATTAAAATTGTATTTGTTTAATCCTGTGTATTAAAAACTGCCCTGTAGGAAACCCTGAGAGGGAAGAGCTGCAGCTGGGAAAGGGAGCGCGAGCGCGGCCGGGCGCCCCTCCGCGCATGGCCATATAGGGGACCATGGCCGCCTGGACCGAACGCGTGGCCCGCACTGGCGCGCGAGCGCGCTTTTCCGGAATCAATCGAGACCCAGACTTCCTCGAGTCGTGAGAAAATCACGGCGGGAGTTTTTTTTCGTTATTTTCGGCCCCCTTACCGGGCCTCGGGGCCGTCAAAAAACGACTCGGGATGAAAAACAAGTCCCGGGGAATGGGTCTGGACCTCTGGGGGTCGCGTCATGAAAAAATCATGACGTCGGGGGTTTGGGAGGAAATCTCCCGCGAAACGGCTGCTGGACTGGGTGGTTTAGGGCTCCCCGTCTCCCCTGTTGGACTGTTCTGAAGTCCTTTTTCACCGCTGCTAGAAGCCCTCTAACGAAACGCTATTAAGGACGAGCGAGAAATCGGGGAGAAAGACAGCGAGGTCACTGTCGTGTGGGCATTGCCCATACGACGAGCATATCTCAAGGAGAAAGCGGCATAAACATGAATTGTCGGAGGTCCGCGCGGATTTCTCGGAGCGGCGATGAACCCCCTTGGCGGCGCCTCTGGCGCCACCCCTGGCACCCTGCGCGCGCCAGGGAGGGGGTTCAGCTCAGCACAGATACGGAAATTCGCGAGGCCCAGCGACAGTTTATATTCATGCAGTTGACTCCTCTACACGCAAGGGCGTATTGCACATCTACTGGTGGCCGCACGGGTGAGTGCGAACGATCGGTAATCAAGCGCGTCCCCTAAGCAACTTCGGATGCATGAGCAGATCAGCTTGTAGGTACAAAGCAGTCAGCCGGTTAAGTCCAGATAAGTGCAGGCTATGTGATTTTCGTCCAAATGTTCATATTGTGTTGTATTGTGCATCCTTTTCCTACTCCTTTCCTCCCATTCCTCTTTCACCCTCTTGCTCCTGTCTACCCATTCTTCCTCCGCCCACTTCACTCGTCCTCCTCCTCAGTTCCCTCCTCCTCCTCCTCCTCCTCCTCCTCTTCCTCCTCCTCCTCCTCATCATCATCATCCTCCTCTCCCAATCCTCTGATGTCTAGCCCGCGTGGCTCTGTCAGGTGGGGAGGGGCTCAGCAGCAATGATGTAATGCTTCCATCTCCGCTGTCGCGTGACGGGAGGTCTGGCTGGCAGGCCATTGGTTCGTGTCTTGGGGTGCCACCCTATGCGCTGCTGCACGTCGGAGAGGATGGAGGAGGTGGAGGGGAAGCGAGACACTTCGATATCGTCCGCCTCTCGGGCGCACGCCGTGGGACACGCCTCGCGGACGCCCAAGCCTTCGCCCGCCGCGCGGGAGGCCGTATCGTGATCCAGGCACAGCGCACCGCGTCCCCCTTCTCCAGTTCCAGCTGCGGTTGTGCGATCGCCCTCGGCCCGTTCATCAAGGCCCGGGACATTCGGTGGTTTTTGGGCGAGCCCGAAAGTGGCGGGAGGCACAGGAGTGGCGGCGCGTGTCAAGCGAGGCCCTTTTTGACTATTGTCTTA